ACCTGAAAATGTGCATTTAGGGTCCTGACTGTTGCAGTTCATCTGTCAGAAGTTCCCAAATGTAAAGTCTTTCCTGCTCAATTTCCTTGTAGGTGTCAGCAGTCAAGGGGACTTCAGAAGTAGAGTCGGTAACATGCAAGTCAACTGACAAGATGAGGTTGGCTGTAGACTGATTTGTGCACAGTAGTGGCAGACCGCCTAGAAATAATAATGGGAGAGGGGAATGCCCGATAGCACCAAAATGGGGGCAGAGGAGCCAAAGGACCAAGTGCCCCAAAAGTGAGGGGGACAAGACAATGTGCTCCTCCCAGTTAAGTGTTGAGCTTTGAGTGCCCACCAACTTTTCAACCCTCCCCTGACTCTCTAGCAACTCCAGAAAGACATTAATTCTACTGCCTTTTGGTGGATCCTTATCAGAGCAGTTACTGCTGCGATTATAGCCATTTCCTGATAGTTTAAAAAGAAACATCCTGAGACGGTGACTTGCTGCTCCATCCTGTTCTGCCACTCCTTTTTTACTGTTGGGAATACCTGCACCATTTTTGACTGGGAAGTAAATGCAAGAGAAATGTAAACCAATTTAATGGCTGGAAAGCAAATGGACATTGAGCAAGAACAGAGAGCGGGCAAATTTCCCCTCCATTTCCTTTCCTTAAATTTGCACATTTTTTCCATCACTTCCCAGCTATTAAATATGTATACTTTTCCTTTCTATTTCAGGCTGCTTTAATGGAATGTCAGTGAACGCCAGTACCTCTTGCAAAAAGTAGCCACTTAAAGTGGAGGAATGAGTACTTCCCTGTTCTGGAATAGCTGAAGAATCAGGGAAGTGTTGAAAGGGTGGAGAACACTGAAAAGTGTCAGTCCAGCACTTAAAAATAGGGGTATCACATTACTGAAGATGAGATATTGTCTTTCCCTTTCGATGCATGTACCACAACTCCATTTTATGTGTTCCTGATTTCCACTAATGCACCTCTTCTTTCTTTTGCCATCATTTCTACCTCAGTTCTTTGTAGCAGGAGGGGGGGATTGCCTGAGAGAACCCAGCCTTTCTTGTCAGTCTCTCTGTATATTTGCCTGTTCCATTTCCAGATTCCTTTTCACAGCTGAAACTGACAAAGAAACTGACCAGCTAGGACCACACATATTGGACAAACCATAAGAGCACACCTGGGCATTTGTAAAAGACCAGCATTAAAACAAAAAGTACAAACCCAATTCCACATGTCTGAAGTGACCAAAATAAGAAAAAATTGGGGTGGGGGGATGAGTGCAGATTTGCCACTAGTGGCAGGACAGTCACTGGAATTCATGAAGAGCAAGCAACACAGGTTTCTGCCATCCTTGCTGAGCAGCCAGTTGTGCCAGCCCACAATGAAATCAGTATCCAGGGTTTGGAGGGCTTGAGAACCCACCATGGGTCCAGGGAACCCTGCAAAAGTTAGGGGTTCTCCATATAATTTGTGCACAAAAATTAAGTCACCGCAAGGAAAATACTCTGGATTCAGATGGTATGCCAAGCAAGCCTGGCTAGCTGCCCATGATAGGTTGTTATGCCATATGAACCCAGTCATTACTGCTTCCAGTATAATTCCCAATCACAAGGTCTGTAGGACTGGAGAAGCTGGCTGATGGTGCCTTGACCGGGACCTGATGGGCTTATTTATTTAATTTCTGTACCACCCACAGCTGAAGCTCTCTTAGGATAAGTCTCTTGCCCAGCTTTTAGCCAATTAAGTGGTTTTAGTTGTAGGTCTTTAGTTGTATAAATGCCTTCTTAGGCATTACACTACATATCTGTATGTCCATTATCCTTTACTAAACCATAATGTTGTAAATCTGCTGTACTCCATTTTGGTGAACTTTGGAGATGCATTGTCCCATCTGCCTTGCTTCTTTATTTAAGATGATGACTTCAACATTATTAGTTATCCTCAAGTTCTTTCTTACTCTGCCTAAACTATCATCCCAGGAAGCAGCTGTCTCCTAGGTTTAGTCAGTGTTATCTCCTTGGGGAAATGTCTTTCTAACCGCCTCCAGATGCATTTCTTCCTGTAGGCTGCGTCGTGACATGAACTAGACGCCTACATTCTCTTTGCCTTCTAGAATCTTTCTCATTCTCTCTTCGCATTTTCTCAGCCCACTCATCTTTAAACTACTCCAGGGTGTTCACACTTCTATTAGATATTAGAAACTATAATGCCATCCCTGTTTCTCCACATTAGGTTGAGCTATAGTCAAATGGATTGACTAGGCAGTATGTTGGCATTTCCTAGTCATGTAGCTTCCAGTCCTCGTCCCTTAGCTTTTTTCTTTTGTCAGGCTGGTTACAGACAGCAAGTTTGTATCTGAAAAGAAGGGATGAAAGGATTATCTGCACCCCTCTCCACTACCCCATGCTGTTACCTTACTGTTCTGTGTTTTCTTTATGTACTCGAGTTCTTCTGAATTCTTAGGAGAATTTCTAACATTCATTATAAAATTGGAGCATTTGCAATCTGCTTTTGGGGTTTATTTGCATGCTTCCCCCGTTAAACAGTTCAACAAACACATTCTGGATATGGCTGTATCTATTCCTTTGTTATAAATTACTGATGTGCATATATGCTATCGTGTACAATAGGCACACGCAAAATCTTAATACACACATAATGTTTGCATACACATACGTACACACAAACAGTCAGAGTAACTGCTTATTTTTGGTGGTTTGCAATACACACAAATGCACACGGGCTATTTCTGTACAAATGTCAGGAACATCTATCTATCTGTCATCTGGATCAGTCTTCCACATCCTTGTGCCTTCCAGACAAGTTTGGATGCAACACCCAGAATTCCCAGTCAATGGTCCTACTGGATGGGAATTCTGGGTGTTGTGGTCCAAATGCCTCTGAAGGCCACCAGGGTGGGGAAGGCTGGCCTATATATATATTCCTAATTCATCAGTAGAAAGAAGATCAGATGATTCATAATTCCAAAATCTGGGGAGAAATCTGAAAATTTCAAAAGCATCACTAATGACAAAATTATAGCCTATACAGCTCTATTCAAAAGTAATCCCAATTGAGCTCAACAGGACTAAGGTCTGTGTATATAAGATTGCAGTGCAAAGGAAGGACTAGAATTATTAAAATCAGGCATTTCTTATCACTTCTTCCTTACCAGATCTGCTTGCTTTTACAGAATTAACTGCCAATAGTTCATGGTAAGCCTGAAAAGGCTGCTTTTTATCATTCTCATAAAGATGCAAATACAATTTATTTTTGAAAAATGGCTCATTTCTCTATGGTAATATTTGTTTGATGCATTACTAAAGCAATAAAAAATTCACAGCACTCGGTAGATTCAGTCAAGAAACACTGTTTCTGGAAATGAAAATAAAAATTGGGGAGCAGGGAAGAATGAAAAATGTATGGCAGCTTATATAATTCCTATGATGGGTATTATATGAAGCTGAATACAAGAACAAAAGAAGATCCATCCTGGGTCAGACCAAGGACTCACCTGGTTCAGCATCCCTGTTTCAAAAGTGGTCAGCAAGATCCTTCTGAGAAGTCCACCTCCAGTGTAAGAACGGCCCAAGGCTTACCTTGCTTGTTTTCCTGACACAGGCCCATCAGGGCTTGGCATGCATGCTCTTTGAACACTCACAAAGAACTTGGGCAGTTTGGTGGATGTTCAGCTTGCATGCTTACAAGATCCTTATAGGTTTGTGATCCCTCCTTTTCTTGTTGATTAAGAAGAATCTTGCTGAGTATAGGTCACTATTAGAGACAAGATGCCTAAGAGAAGAATCCTGAGTGTTATCCTGTCCCAGGCACTCATATAGTCTTGCTTAGGATACCTGACAGTAGCATCACACTGCCCTGACATAATTGTTACCCTATAATATAGGCAGAACATACAGCCCAGTTATGCTGCTTGGAATTCAACATTATGGACAGACTCAGGTTTTTTTTTGAAAATTATCCACCACATCTGAAACATAATTGCTACCTGTAGCATATTCATGAATTCTTTCCATGATGAAGTCTCCTTTCTTCAGCATTTGTTTGGTTAATAATGACCTCTTACATTTCACATGGGTCCTGGAATCCACCTATCACAATAATTTATAACAATTGAGTGCACAATCCTATGGTCTCCTGGCATTATCTGGTGGAGTGTAGGGTTATTTAGAGCCACTGCCCCACCCATTTGCAGCCGGCATGGGAAGAACTATGCCAGCTGATGCTCTGAGGTTGCTAATTGGACATAGAGAGCAAGAAAGAGTCATGTCAGGAGGTGGGGAAGGGAGGATGATTTTGATGACAGCTTGTTGTTGTTGTTGTTAGTCCAACCCATCACGACCCCACGGACAACATTCCTCCAGGCCTTCCTTTCCTCCACCACCCCCGGAGTCCACCTAAGCTCACGCCAACTGCTTCAGTGACTCCATCCAGCCACCTCATTCTCTGCCGTCCCCTTCTTCTTTTGCCATCTATTGTTCCCAGCATTAGGCTCATCTCCAGGGAGTCCTTCCTTCTCATTAGGTGGCCAAAGTATTTGAGTTTCATCTTCAGTATCTGGATGACAGCTTAGGTCCTGTCTAAATGCCACAGCCTCTTTCCTTTCCCTCCATGATGCTTCATCCCAATGGTCAAAAACAGACATCTAGAAGATAAATGCAGGCATGAAGGTTGCCACCGCTGTTCTGTGCACTGGATATACGCACACTGAGACTAGAGGCTTATGTACTTCAAACATGGAGAGCGCTGGATTGTGCTGTTACTGATATGCCTTAGATTGCAACATAGAAATTAAAACTGAGGTGACTAGGTTTTTCTTACCCGCTGTTTTATACTATACAACAATGGACCATGTAATATTGGTCATGTTTCTTGCACCCTGAATTTATTTTGAAACATTTTCCAACAGATAGTTAATAAGTGGCTCATATTTCCCTTTCCCCACAGGTTTTCTTTCCTTGGTGACCATCACATATCTGGAGAAACATGCCTGAGCAAAGCAATGATTACAGGGTGGTGGTGTTTGGAGCAGGAGGCGTTGGCAAAAGTTCGCTGGTCTTGAGGTTTGTCAAAGGCACTTTCCGAGACAGTTACATCCCTACAATTGAAGACACCTACAGGCAGGTGATCAGCTGTGATAAGAGCATATGCACTTTGCAGATTACTGACACAACGGGGAGTCATCAATTTCCTGCCATGCAACGTTTGTCTATTTCCAAAGGACACGCTTTCATTTTGGTCTATTCTATCACCAGCCGACAGTCCTTGGAAGAACTCAAACCTATCTATGAACAGATATGTCAGATCAAAGGGGATATAGACAGCATCCCAATCATGTTGGTGGGAAATAAGAATGATGAGGACCACAACCGAGAAGTGCAGACTAGTGATGGAGAAGCCATGGCCAAAAAATGGAAGTGTGCCTTTATGGAGACTTCTGCTAAGATGAACCACAATGTGAAAGAGTTATTTCAAGAGCTGCTGAACTTGGAGAAACGTAGGACTGTGAGCTTACAGATTGATGGGAAAAAAAGCAAGCAACAAAAAAGGAAAGAGAAGCTGAAAGGCAAGTGTGTCGTCATGTGAAAACTACATTGCCCCAGAGTGATCATCTAAACTTATTCTTTGGACTGTACCAGGTTTCAGACCTATACACAATGGGAGAAATGTGAGACTGTTTTATTAATATGTGAGACTGTTTTAAAAGAAATATTAATGAAACAGAAGCAGTTGTATGGAATAGAAGTACTACATCAATTTCTAGACGTTATCCTTTTATAAATTAGCCATTAACAACAGCAAAAATAGTTCCAAAGAATCAACAGTATCTAATTTCAAGATCACAGACAATAATACATGCGAACTCCCACCAGCATCACTGTTGTCATATAAGAATTGGGAGTTAGACATTTCAAGGTTTATGCTACTGATATGTGTAGAATTCTGAAAGATGTATTTATCTACAAATATATATATAGACATATTTGGAAGCCTAAATTTAGGATTAAGGTAAAATGGCTTTCCTATATTTCCAGTTTCTCTTCTTCCATTATGTTGACCTGATTTTCCCATAACACTATCAATTGTTTATTTAATTCATTGGTTGTTGAATTCAGGATTGTCATGATGTGCAACATAGGTGTGGTAATGAATCATGTTTTCCTAACCACGAACAATTAAGAAAGAGAACTCATGGTTTGTTGTTGGCTTGTGAACTCTGGGTTGTTTAAACCAAGGATTGTTGTTTCATGTGAACCTAGAAGAGTTGTTAATGGTTTATGAAAAAAGCATTAACAGGTTAGTCACAATTAAGAATTGTATAATAAACCCCGTCACTCTAAATGCCGGGATAGGAGTTGACAAAGGCTGAGGAAACAGATAACCCAGAGTGATAGAAAACTAACTATGGCTTGTTTAATTGTCTGTTAGGCAAATCTTGGGTGGGGCAACAAACCATGAGTTATATATACCATGAGTTAGTATTATGTATGAACCAGGTCTCTGTGTCCTGTTCTTACACACATCCCTTACAAAGTTGATGAACAGTGTTTGAACTAGATGGAGTATTTCTCATCTTTGTGACTCATCTAGCACATACATCAGAGGATGTACTGGCTATATTCACATGCCTTTACAACATGCAGCTTTAAATATTTTTTCAATGATGTAGAATACACCATCAGATCACCTTCCCCTTGTAAGTAATTTAGTTCAGTCATTCCTAATTAGAGTCTAAGATAGCATGAAAATGGTGCATGAATTGAAGGAAATACTTTTGACCAAAGGATGAAGTTGGCAGGGCAAGTTTCTATAATACTTAACTTGCTATATATTTATTTTTATCTTGCAACACAGAACTTGACTATTGATACTCTATTATCCAAAGGGTTTCTAGTATATATGGATACTGGCTGAATTACTGAATAACTGTAAGCTATTTTTTCCTAACTTTTATTCGTAGCAAAGATCAAATTGACAAGGAGAAACTGAGCATTTACCCAGAAGCTAGGTGAGAGGCCAGAGGGCTTGGCATAAGAATGATGAAGGATTTTCTGGGGCTCTAAAATGTACAGACAGTCTCCAAGGGGAAGTAAGGCTTTCCAGTGTAGACATTTGAGCAATGAAGGAATAATGAGGGATACAAGTTCCTCTCCTGTCCCCTTCCTTACATATCAAGATTGTGCTCTTTAAAATGATTGAATAGAGATACCATGATTTGTAGCTCTTGGTTGAACTGGTAAAACCACTGTGCAAAAGTCCACTTACATTGCAGTACATGAAACAGAACAGAATTTTAATGTTATTATTCAAGACTATTCTTAGGAGAATAAGCTACTTTTGCAGGAGAACAAATTAATATTCTGGCAAGTGTGTATAATAACAGTTAGAAAATGCAGTTAAGTGCTCATAAAAATAGCACATGTATTACATTTTAAATGTCACCCAAGAGCTGTTTAAATGCTTCCCTCACTTTTGAATATGCATTGCTCTCAAATACATTAATGCTATGTGAGCCCTACATCCTCAGCAGCCGATTCACACGAAGACAGAGAAATGCAGACAAGGGAGTGCCTGCAGGATAAGGCTACGGTTCACTCTTACATACTTTCCATCTTCCAAATGCAAGTAGAAATGTTTCCCGTTTTCTGGATATGGGAGGCTTAGAGGTTTCTGAAACACCAAGGGTGAAGACAGAAGCCCACACAGATGTGTGGGTTAAAGACAAGTGTGAAGAGGAATGGCATTATGGCAGCAGGCTTCAGCCTTGACCTGAACACACCCATTTCAATATTTGATGAGGGCCTGGGTTCTTTATTTGGGCCCACCACCATCAGAGACATACTCAGAGAAAGGCAAGAAAGAGTCATGAATGGCCACTCCCAGGCGCTGGTCCTCCCTGCTGAGGGAGGTTGGTTGATCCCATCTTTGTTGACTTCCTGCTCACAGGCAAAAAGGTGTCCATTCAAGCAGAGTTTTGGCATATCAGTTGCTTCATTGCTGAACAGTGTTTTTAATTTTATTTGCTTTTATGTTCTGTTTGAAGCAAAATTTGATTTTTAACCTATGTGCTAATGCTGGTTATTTTGAGCACTATTTTGGGGTGAAAGGTAAACCAAAAAAGGCTGCATGCATAGCCTCCTCCAGAGGCTAAGCAAACACACATAGGTTGGGATGGACTGTGTTGCTGTGATGCTAATCCCCCACAGTATGGAGAGAAGGAACAATGCATTCTAGAGTGTACTGGAGGCAGTTTCGCTCTCTCCATTCATTAGCAAATTTGATGGAAACCATTTCTACCATGCTTAATATATGGGTTCTATCCAGTGGGTTCCTTCCTTTGGGAGGAAGGATTCTTCTTCCACAGGAAGAGAATCATTTGGCACAACCTCATCTCATTCTTTACCCAAAGAATGTTTACAATCTAGTCATCTCAAAGACTAGAATATCTCTAATTGTCAGAGTTTCTCTTGATTTCACTGCATCAGAATTGCTTAGTAGCAAAGCATTTTAAGATCTTTTGCAAACATATGCAGGTTTTTTTTTAAATGGATAGTTTCTACTGAGTGAGTACTCCCTTTTGAACTGGTAGAAAATTCAAGAGCATTTAGTGAGAAAATAATTCAATATGTAACCGCATAATTGGTATATTCGGTGTGCAAGGTAATGTTTCAGTAAAGATTCTCGTCATTTCCACTTGAGACTCCATTAAGAAAAGTGATGAACCCAAAGACAGGAATGGGATTTGGAGCATCATCTTGCAGGCAGTCATGAAAAGAACAGGCTACTTGTATATAGCATGTTTGTATAAGCATGAATAAGCATCTTGATTAGGAACCTCAGGCCCAACTTGTGAAAGATGCCAAAACTGCAGGGAGCTCTTCATCACCTTCTACCCCTTTGGCTCTTCTGCCACCCTTGTATTCTGCTAATTCCCCCAGCCCCAAAACACACACACCCTCTTTCTAAGGGTTGTGGAAGGTGAATGGACTGACTCCAACACATAGGAAGACAGCATGCTGAATCTTTATATTGAATCACACCATTGGCCCATCTGCCCAATGCCGTTTTTATCGGCTGGCAGTGACTTGCCAGAGTTTTAGGCAGGGGATTTTCTGTCCTACCTCATAATGCCAGGGACCTTCTGCATGCAAATTATGTCCACTACAACTGTGTTGCAGCCCCTCTGTCATGGGTGGGGCTTTTCTTGGAAACGTGTCACACAGATGGTTGGAAGACCTACTGAAGAAGGCTGAATCTGTCTTTTGAAATCTGCTCCTTTTCCTACTTCCACACCACAGCTTACCCCATTCAGTATGGCCCTCATTCCTCTGTGTAGCATCTTCAGAGAGGGGACTAGAGGGACTTCCGTGGGGGAGTGGGGAGAAGAAAAAGGGGAGACCAGCCTACTGACATGTGTGTTTGACCCATTTATACTTTGCATCTCAAGCCATGAATGTGCAAAGAGGCCCACAAAGTGAAACCAGCTGGATAAAATCCTCTGTTATAGTTCTGTGACATTCTGCAACTATGTGTGATCCAACCAATCCTATTTATTGGGGGTCAGTCTTGATTTTCTGATACCTGTCCCTTGTTATTCAATATTGGATGCAGAGTGTGATTTTAGTATGAGTTGCTGTACTTGTTCATTTGCCTTCCCAGGGTCTCTAGAAGTTAAAATCATGATGTGGAGAGCAGATGGATGGGGCTGCATCCAGGCTTGTCATGCTTAGAGGGAAGCTAGTAAAATCAGTGGGATTTAAGGGTGTTGTGGCTCAATTAAGTCCCAGGATTACAGGGGGTCTACTCTATGCATGACTACATCTGGATCCAACTCATGGTGTCTACTGGTAATGCATGAGAGAGCTTTGGCTACTGGGTAGTATAAAAATGAAACAAATAATGATGACGCATAGGAGTATTAAGGTACTATGCAGGCACAACCTGCCAATTTATACACTGCTGATGCTAAAGCATCTTTTGAGCTGTTGATACTATAGGACAACATCTGTCTCTGCTACATGTTTAGCCAGCCATCCAACCACCGAACAAACACCCATTTGGTTTTATATTGAGTTGAGACAGCTGGTGAAGCGAAGCCTTCAGCAGCACATAATAGTGAGTTTGTACATGTAGAAAAAAAAAAAGGAAGTGATCCTTAGTGTGATGATTGGAATGTTACAAACATGCCCTTATTTGCATCATCAAGATGAAACCAAGAGCAAGCCTGCAGTATATCTTCCTCCCAGCGGACACACACACACATTTATCTTAACAATGCACAGCAGCCCTGAAGAGGAACCTCGTACAAATCCTTCTTAACTTCATTGTAGCTAATATTACATAATGTGAAGAAACAGCTGCCTAATCCGCAAATGCTGTCTGTAACTGCAATCCTAATCTACTGGAACCAATGAAACTTAATGAATTGTGTTTAAACAGCTATTTCAGATCATTTGTACATAAGGCTCTGTCAAAGAAGTTATCCTTTGGAAAAAAAACTGTTAAATGTTAAGGATCATTTTGTTCCTTGTTGATTCTACCCTTGTAATAATATAATAAGCCATGATTGTGTTTTGTAGCCTTGCATTTATCAATGCAGGGCTAGTATAGAAGCAATATTTATTCCTGGACCAGTAATTCTAAGGATAATGTATTTTATATTAGACCCTTCTGTTGTCCTTGTAATTTCTAATAGATTTTACATATAAGTATCTTTATCTAAGTATTTATTTGCTATTGTTGGTATAAGCATTTTTGATAGATGAAGGAAACTCTTAGGAATAAATATACAGCTTTATTATACCTTGTGGTTTCTTTCCAAGTGTGATAGTAATAGACACAAGATATTTAAAAATGTACACAAAATAAGGGTGACCTGTTAAAAAATTTCAAGGAATCCCAGCATCCCAAAGCTAACATTGACACATATGCAGTTCACAAAGCATGACTTTTGTATAAATGTGCAAGCTGTTCCGATATATAGTTATCATTCAGATGTATTTATTGTTGCAGTTTCATTATCTGATATTTTATTCAGCAGCAGTTATCATGTAATTTGTGCATACAAGTTTCTATGTTTCCTGTAATACTCTGTACATAAGATATACAAAATAAACCGTTTCAGTTGCCTTTGTCTTTTAATAGTTAGGGTATCTGGGAGAGCCAGAGGTTGTGGATATCTGAAAAAGTGACTGGATCAGACCAAAGGCCTTGTGTTCCTACAGCGGCCAGCCAAAAGGTTTTGGGCAGTCCACAAGCAGGGCCATAGTCCTCTCCCATTATTCCTCCCCCCAGCGCCTGGCAGTTTGCCTTTGATACCTGAGCTGGTGTTTAACCATCATGACTAGTAGCCACTGATAGTTGTATCCACCATCATTTGTCACCTATTTATTTGTTTAGTGGCCTAATTACCATTTGCAGTCTGCTGATAAAGGTGTACACCTCAGCAGGAAGCGATCAAAGCTTGATAATGAGATAGATGTTAATTCTCCTACTTTCAGTTCACCTTCCTCCTACCTAGTCAAGAATACCAAGACAAAAGTGTGTTCTTTTGTATGTGCAGGGTTGAAGACATGTTGAATCAGTCCCATGGCTGTTATGTCAGTGGTGTGATCTCTTGATCTCACCCAAATTCATCAGCTTCACCTGGGAAGTTGACGTCTCCCAGAATCATGGTTGTAGGATGTGCAGCCCACCTTCTCCTCAGCTTGCTTGTCATTCTCCCAGTGCCTTCCCTGTGCCATTCCTTTGCGTACCTTGCTCACATCAATAGGAGCTCTTCCCCTATCCCATGCACAGATTATTTAAGTTTATCAGGCATGCGAAAGCATTAATGTAAAACAAGTGCACCAGCCTTCAGTACAGTGCCTAAACATGTTAAATTTACTATCGCTTCTGTTTTCTGCAGGCTGCTGCAGTATCCCACCTCTGCTGATATCTACACATTTCTCCACCAGGGAGACAGATGAAAAGTCCTTTCCACCAGCTGTATTTTGTTTGCCCATTTTGCTCTCCACAGTGATGCCACCGGGCGAGAACTGAGGCCAAGAGCACTTCGGCTCGCATTCTTTGGCTCATGCCTTTGTCCTGAACTGCCTTTAAATACCTGCAGAAATTTTTAAAAAGAGACAGGCCTGATCAGACAGGTACTGAAGCTGGTAATAGCCTCTTTCCAGCAGCTATCACTGTATCCTATGAGGTCATTTATCTATCCTCCTATGGCATAAAATTAAAACCACATTTTTATAACTAAACAGGTGCTAGGCCTGCAGGAAAACAGCAGACAAAATGCTCCCTGCCACCCCATGTGACATTTGGAGTTGGTAAATAAGACTCCTGCTCTCAGACTCCTGCTAAGTGCCAGCTAGGAGATCTAGAAGAGGTCCTATATAAGATCAAGCTCTGCTCTCCAGTGACTGCCCCTGAATCCTGCCCAGTCCTGTTTGTAATGTTGTGTCCTGCTTTGATTTGTCTTATTAGTTCTGGGCCTTTGGCTAGGCCATGACCAGGTCCTCGTCTTGCTTTAATACATACTCCTGCTTCCTGACTTTGGCTTGCTTCTTGACTATGACTCTGCCTCCAACTCAACTGCCAGACTTGGCACAGTGTTGAGACCCTGCCCTGCCTTGAGTCCTGTTGCCCCCGTCGAGCTGCCCCTGCCTAGGACCCTGGGTGGGCTTCATGGCCAGGTGAAATCCAGATCGCCTGACACCTTTCATCAGT